CTGGAGTAACAGATCTCACATCAAAGCACCGATTTGAGATGCTATCGTAAACTTTTTAGTAGCCTTTACTGTACTATTAACATGGCATTAGTAACTTATCACTGTCAAACTCATGACTAGCATTTTTCTCAGCATTTCTTTTGTAGCTTCATTTGGATTCTCAATACCACTTAACCAGCTAACTGTACTTAGCTCTTAACCTTATTTCGTAACATGGTCGTCTTTTACTTTGTTACGTTATAACTTCTTTCTTAAACTGTTTTAAAATGCTGAAGCAATTGTAAAATTCCCTAAAAAATATCCAGTTGTTTCATTCCATCTTTTGTTTATCTCTGATGAAAATTAAAAAAAAAATATATGATTTTCAGAATATAATCCTATTATTCTCAAAAATTATGTTGCTAAAGTTAAAGCAATTAAAAGTTGCTTAGATTTTCATTGTGAACAAATGTAATTTTCAAACTGTTGTAATGTTTTTATTTTTAAAAAAATATCTCATGTTCATGGTTTTCAGTTATTTTAAAACAATTAACCAGAACACACTTAAATAAAACAGTAAGATATAGAAATAAAACACTGGAAACTGTGGAGTTCCTTTACAAAGATAATGTGTTAAATGATTAAAGATTTATGTCTTCAAAGATCTTGAATCTGCGAAGAAGGTTCTTTTTTTTCTGTGTATAAATAAAATGTGGAAAGTGCACATAAAACTATATATATTTATAATCACTCGTTGATTCTCAACACTTAAACAGTACTATGGTGATTATATTCGAATGATGTGAAAAATTATTAATCTGACCACTAACAAACATAATTATGCAAAATAATAATTAACATTTTATTATTACAGTATGAAGTTAATAAATGTGAGAAAAGTCTATTAAAAAGTATATACTAACGAAGAATATCAGTTCCTTTAATTATCAGTTTTTACAATAGATAATGTTACGAATTTTGTATTAGCTTATGAATGTGTATTTATTTAATGTTCAGAGGAATGATTTAATGAATTCATCATATATTGACAATTGTGAGAAGTGTCTTGTAATCCTCTTGTTAAAATTATTTACCTTTAGACACAGCACTACACAAACTATCTAGTAATTAACAGAATTCAACCTTGATGGTCATATTCTCAGTGATTTGTAGTTATTGACAGTTCTACTTATTCTTTAACAAGAGGGTATTTTGGCTGTGACATAATGATCATGTGACCTGAAGCTGTACATGTGTATGTTTAGCTATATGTTGAAGAAAGGAACTTCATAAGTAGCTGAACAAGTCTTATTAGCAGCTTAATATTTTATATTTTTACACTCTTTCTACTGAGGTTTTGCTTACTATTTTCATTTTCTATTGATGAATGTGTATTTATGAACTTATTCTGTAAATGTTCCATATCCATTGAAGTTATTTGGAGAATAGGCATGTGCTAGAATACACTATTTGAATTTTCAAGTTTTCAACCCCAGATATTTTTCATTTACTTTTTTTGGAGGTTTTTTTTATATGGTTACCATTTACGATATATCAGAACTTCCTGAATATAAATAAGCTGTAGTGAAACTTTTCATATATATATATATATATTGTTGCGTCAACGAGGTCACGTGACTAGTATCACGCCACTTCTTTCTCGAACCTTCGTGAACTGTCAGGAGATTACTAGATTGTGGGTAGTCTGGTATATATAAGATGGTCACAACATGACGGGACAATGTGTAGGTAATGAGTAATTGAACTGCAGTCAGAGAGTGTGTAATTGAGTATTGTCGAGCACGAGCACATGAGACGTTCTAGCGTTTATTATAGAGCGACTGTTGAAATTAAGTGTATCGGTAAAGTTGTATTCGGAAAAAATAAACCAGTTTTATTTAAGAAAGGACTTGTGTCCCTAAAGTTTCGTCGGAACGAATTTACGGAAAATTAAGTAACGACTGGAGGCGTAACAATATATATGTGTGTGTGTGTGTCACATTGAATTATAATAGTTTACAGAAATTCTATATACATATATTTCCCCTTATTTTCTTTTCAGCAAGCAATCTGAGTGCTGTATATTGTTAATTCTTTTCTGTTGCCTTCTGGTCATTTTTCTTTCCTTTTCCTTCTCAATAAACTTTACCATTGTTTATAAAAATGAGTTTAAAACATAATTAATAACTTTTCATAAGTCTTTGAAATATAATACTTTGTATACCTAATTGTATTGAATGATAAATTCTTTGTGATGCTGTGGTACATAGAAATTTGTCAGGCTGAAGTAAAAGTTTTTGGAGCAGTCTTAGTTGTACTTTGATTTATATAAATTTATATAAAATTTCTATCTCTTTCAGAACAAAGCATTTTTAAGTAGGCATACACATGTATTAACTTATTTATCAAATGCTTGTTATTCTTTCTGTAAGGTGCAATTTACCTTAAATGTAACAAATGAGGCATTTGTTTCTGTGGATTCCAGTTTAAGTTTTGTGTTAAAATATTTCCCAATCCTTGAACAATGATGTCTTATCACCTTCACTAAAAAACATCAAATACAATGATAATACTAACAAACTGACCATTAGAAAACATCGAATAACTAACAAACTGACCATTAAAAATAAACAAATACAACTAGCAAACTGGCCATTATAATCAAATACAACTAGCAAACTGACCATTATAATCAAATACAACTTGCAAACTGACCATTACAAAACATCAAATACAAAGATACAACTAGCAAACTGACCATCAGAAAACATCAACTAGCAAACTGGATACAACTAGCAAACTGACCATAGTTAACAATATTTTTACATCATTCCCTGATGTTGTTGAACGGAAGAAAGAAATGAATGAAATTTCTGATAAGCTGAACAGCCTTAGACCAACAATAGCACAACTTCTAAATCTTTCAGCTTTCAACTTTGTTACTGTGGCAGGACAGGAGGTCAGTATAAGTTCTATGTCAGTAAAGAAATTGCAACATAAATTCTGTATTTTTATTTAAATGTACTGTTGTATGGAAATGATGGGCAGGAACTGGATGTGCTGGAGAAGTGTTACTGTTGCTTTTAATGCAAGTTGCAGTTTAGAAAATGATAGTGTTAAACTGGCTTAAATGGTCAACTGATGCAGGAAATTTAAAATTTGTCTCTACCCAGTCAGAGATTAAATATTCAATTCAATGAATATATTAAAAGAAACATTGTTTAAGTGTTATAATGGAATTAGGCATCCAAAACCGAAATCAGATCAATACCATTTTGAAGAAAAATCTATATGAGTAGTACGAGAGCTTGGTTGTTAACCTGTCAGTACATTTCTCTATCAGTATTTTCATTGAAAAAAAGCACTCTTGTTAACCTCTTTCCAATTTTACCTGATCATATTCACCACTTTATGGTTTTATATCAAACCATTTAGGCTTATTTATTGTTTTACTCTGTCTTAAACAGTACAGTTGATATTTTGGATGAAAGATCTGGATTTTCGTTTAACATTAATCATATGTTCCTGGTGCTATAAAAGGCAGTTCCGTCTTATAGCTTTGGTATTTATGTATACGAAAAGCATGATCATCGACACTGGTTAGCAGACACTTCCCTTATATGTATAATGGGAAACAGTACTGATAAACAGTGAGTGGAGTTTGATCCTTATCCAAAGAAATGTTAGAAAAATTAAACCTAAGTTATATTTTAGACACTTTGATGATACAGTCTATAGAGTCAGAATAATTTTGTTTTATGTATCTTTTGGATTTCATAAAATAAAGGTGTAAGTAATATCTGTATAAATAATACACTTGCATTTGTCTGTTTGGAACTTTTCTTACAAATTTCTCGATAAAATACCAAAAGTCTAATATCATTAGAAAGGCTTTTATTTGTCCAAGGAGTCTAGATTGCATATTGGCTTTTCAATTCAGAATCACTGTACCTGTTTTTTGCATAGTGAAATTTTTCAATGCAATGAGTATGGTACATGATGGCACAATGTCATTATCATTACATGGTAACTGGCTTTGATTTCAACTTTAGTTAATTTTAATTTGCATAGTATTTCACACAAATGACACTTTACATGTGTGTAATTTCCTAAGAAAATGAAAATTACACTAAATACAATTTGTGTGTGGTTTCTCGACTTATTTAGGTCTAAATTACGCATGTACAGTTCATTCAAAACCATATATTTATCACATTGTAAACATGTATTCAGACGTTTCTGTATATTCAGCTAAGTTTGCCTTTATTACAACTGTACATTATTTTACTTTACTAAATACAATTTCTATGTGGTTTCTTGACTTATGTAGGTCTAAAATACGCATGTGCAGTTCATTCAGAACCATATATTTATCACATTGTAAACATGTTTGCAGATGTATCTGTATATTCAGCTAAGTTTGCCTTTATTACAATTTTACAATAAGTTAGCTTTGGTTCATTTCGTAGACTGCTATAAACACCTTTTTGTTACTTTTTTCTTTACTATGTGTTTTATTCTTCATTTTTGTGAATTTCTTTATTTCAACTTGTAAAACTGTCATACTCTGAATGCTCATAACTGTTTCATACTTTGTACACTATTATAAATACCATTACTGTACTGTATTATTTACTTTGTGTAGTTTTATTAAATAGTTATGTCTATGGGAATTTGTTTGTTTGACCACATAAATTTTTTTCAAACACACCTGGATTCATCGATTTAACATATAATGCCTGCAAGAAAGTGTAGCTTAAAATGGCTTGTGTGAAGGGCATGAAAACTACTATAAATATTTTGCATGTCGTGACTAGCTTACCAGTAGTAATAACAAATAAAATTCAACAAAATTCTTAACTCGGATAATTGCTGTAGATGAGGAAGAGTCTATCAAAAACTGTTTACATTTCATCTATTTAATGTAGATACAAGGAACCAGTCTGAATCGTTGTTCTTTTATCAAAAACTGTTTACATTCCATTTATTGAATGTAGTTACAAGGAACCAGTCTGAATCGTTGTTCTTTTATCAAAAACTGTTTACATTCTATTTATTGAATGTAGATACAAGGAACCAGTCTGAATCGTTGTTCTTTTATCAAAAACTGTTTACATTCCATTTATTGAATGTAGATACAAGGAACCAGTCTGAATCGTTGTTCTTTTATCAAAAACTGTTTACATTCCATTTATTGAATGTAGATACAAAGAACCAGTCTGAATCGTTGTTCTTTTATCAAAAACTGTTTACATTCCATCTACTGAATGTAGATACAAAGAACCAGTCTGAATCGTTGTTTTTTATCAAAAACTGTTTACATTCCATCTATTGAATGTAGATACAAAGAACCAGTCAGAATCGCTGTTTTTTTATCAAAAACTGTTTACATTCCATCTATTGAATGTAGATACGAGGAACCAGTCAGTCATTGTTATTTTGGCCAGCCAATTAGCATTGACAATGCCAGTATATTGGACTATGTCATCTCAAGATGATACCATTGAGAGTGTGTTCTATACATCTTATACACTCTGAAGGCAAAAGTTTGCTAATTACTTGTGAAGGATCCACTAATTTTGTGTCCTATGTCAAAAATGGATGAAACTTTAAGGGAAAGAGCAGCAGTTTGCTTTGAGATTAGTAAATGAGTGTGACAGTTTCCTTAATGAGTGTGCTTATAATTCCAAATGCTGTCAGAGGTTTACCAATAAGCATTACATATCAGTTACTAGCTGAAGGGTGAAGAAGAGACAAGAAAATGATGATAAATTAAACCAGATTCTTAAGGAATTCTGATAGTCGGATGTCATTTAATTGAACCAGAGTGACTGAAAACACAGTTTTCAAACCAGGTTGGATTCTTTATTCTAAAGTGAGATGTCATAACATGCAAAAACACAAATTGTCTTTAATATGGTGTAGAACTATTTATGCTGCTGAAAATCTATTTAAAACTGTTGAGAAAAGGAGGAGGAAAATGTATTATGTATGATAAAAACAGCTTCATTGTGAATTAAGAAACTAATATACTTGTTAGTCTGGTGAAGACATAAAAACAGCTTCATTGTGAATTAGGCAACTAATATATTTGTTAGTCTGGTGTGACATAAAAACAGCTTCATTGTGAATTAGGCAACTAATATATTTGTTAGTCTGGTGAAGACATAAAAACAGCTTCATTGTGAATTAAGAAACTAATATATTTGTTAGTCTGGTGAAGACATAAAAACAGCTTCATTGTGAATTAGAAAACTAATATATTTTGTATCCAAGACAAATGTCATACCAATGTGAAATATAAGAGCTTTTTATTTTATTTGCATTTAGTTTTTATAAAACTGACGTTCTTTATTTCTTGAATTTATATTTTGTAATTTCTTTGATTCACTAGAATATATAAATGTAAACTGTTTCATGTGCATATAAAAGTAAACAATTGTTGATTATTTTTACAAGAATAGAAATGAAATTAATATACAGTTACTTTTATGTAATAAGAATTGACTACATAAATTTAGTGCTAATATTACAGAAAGAGTTTACAATTCGAAAAATTTTAATGTGAGAAATTGGTAACTGTTGTAAAATTTTGTTAAAATGTTTAATGAAAATTCATTAAGTTTTAGTATTTATCTTGATTAAATTTTTATAGTAAAATAGACTTGCATATATTCTTTTCTGAAGCTCTGGTAATTAGTGGTGAAAAAAAAGATAACATTTTGAACTTTAATTTGTCACAAAACTGTTGGAATATGTATATACTGTAAGGTATGAGTTGGTTTATGATAAGCCTCTGTTCTATAACTGATTACTGTTAAAACTGGTGTTTCTACTTACGGTAATTTATGTTCCTATTTGTGTTCAACAGTGTGAAGATATTGTTGCCTTAAATTGTCTTCATACTTAACAACGTGTAGTTTACTGTAAAATTATAAAACATAACTTATTAATTGTAATGTCTGAATGCAAGAAATTCTTATTAAGTCTCTTTCTCTCATATATGATGTCCGAAAATGACATCTAAGATCAGAGAAATATATAACTAGTTTTTATTCTGTATGTTTACGTGATTAGAAGTAGCTTCTCGATACTGAAGTTACTGAATAAGATGAGAATTTGAAGATGTGATGTGACAGGTTTCATCTTATCTTCAATTAATTTAAAAGACTGACAGTAATTGCTGAATACCATTTAAATTCCTTAAAGTTGTACAGAAAAGTCACAATTTTTATGCATTTTGAAGTTGTAAATATACAACTCTCAAATTGCATAAAATGTGAAATACATTTGCCATAATGTGAATTTAACCTATTTCCTGTAATACGATTTACCTTTAAAGTAGTCTGTTAAGCACATTCTATTTTCTGCTGGTTAATAGTACTCTTATGACAGCGGAAGTCACGCAATGCTGGGAGCATGCACGCTGGAGTTTCTAGAAGGATTATGACTTATCGAGGAACCTCACGAATGTCCGAGTGTTTGCCAGGCACCCTCTTTTTTAGTATATAAGCCCGCCAAATAAAGCCAGCGATAGAGATAGATATGTAGATAGATTGAAGATATAGATAATTGAGTCAAGCAAACAGTAGGCACTGTAAGTAAAGTGTGTGAACCACTGTGATTTATAGCGTGTGTTATAAAGGTTGTTAAGTTTAAAGTGACTGTGGAAATTCTGTATATTACAAAGTTGTATCGAGAAAGAATAAACTAGTTTTAATAAAGAAAGGACTTGTATCACTGAAGTTCCTCGGAAAGGAGTTATACCGGAAATTAAGGAAATTATCAAATGAGCAGATACATAACAGTACTTTGCAATTGGTTTCACAGGATTGATAAAATAGTGTATTTATACTTTCAGTTGGGACACGTTTTTACCAGTTCAAGTTTGTTGTCTCAGTTGTAAAACTGAGTTTTTGCAACCTGATCCCTGCAGCGCATTAGCATTGTTCATGCAGTTAATTGAGGTTCAGTCATTTCTGTGGAATCGAGAAAGTTTATGTTAACATCATTATGGAAGTACAATTCAAAACTTTCTAACTACGGTATAAACACTGAGGTTATGAAGCCTAATCTGATTTTTATTTTTAAACACTGTGATTATGAAATAAATTGCTTGATTAATATAAAACATCTGTTTAAATGAACCAGTCTTAAATATTTCCAAAACTAAATACATTTGTAAAAAGTTTTCCCACCTGAGTTTTTAATGGATTCATTCTCAAGTTTGTAAATGAAATCATGCAGGAATCTCTTTAAACTGATAACCATCACTGTTGTGATATCTGAAGTCTCAAAGATTAATGACAGGTTAACCGTCTATATAAACGTCTAACAGCAAACACTTGTAAGGATAAATTACTTGACCAAATTGCTTGTATTTTGTTTTGAAAAGAAAAATTGTTTTATTTTGTTTGAATCTGTCGGAAGAAATTTGATTTTATAACAAAAATCAAGTGCAAGTAGTAATTTACTTATAACTTGCAAAAAAAAATGTGGTTTGAATTTCCCAAACTTTAGTCAACAGTTATGACTTTAAATGTTTAACAAAATATATAACTAAATAAATATGGTAAATATAACTTCAGATTAATAATTTGGGAATGAATATATGCTAAACAAAGAAAAAACAAATTGAAAGAAGAAAGAAAAAGAGCAGCTTCAGCTGCAAGGACATCTCTCCAGGGATAATGATTAAATTGATACTTTTACGTATCTGCTCATTTGATAATTTCCGGTATAAACTCTTTCCGAGGAACTTCAGCGATACAAGTTCTTTCTTAATTAAAATTAGTTTATTCTTTTTCGATACAAATTTGTAATACACAGAATTTCCACAGTCACTTTAAACATGCTCCCAGCATTGTGTGACTTCTGCTGTCATTACAATACTTTGAGTTCATATATGAGTTGAAAAGAGCAGCTTCAGCTGCAAGGACATTCCTCCCAGGATAATGATTAAATTGATATGTTGAGTTCAAATATGAGTTGAAAAAGAATTTTTGCTGTTTGAAGGTAAAAAAAATCCACAAATGTAAATATCACTAACTCAGTACATTTAGACTTTATTTTGTACTGCCTATATGGATATGCCTCTCTTTGCACAGAATTCTTCACCTAAAAATTGTTTGTTTGTTTTTAACACATGAATAATCACTCTGATTGATCAATGTTCTTTTTACTTTCTCATTTTTAGTTGTATACGTTCTGATTTCTCAGAGTAAAGGATATTTTAATGTTTTATATTTTACCTCCCTTTCTACCCCTGGTGGCTCAACATTAAGCTTGAGGGCTTATAACACTAAAATTTGTAGTTTCATTCCTGTAGTGAGTGCAGTACAAATAGCTTATTGTGCATCTTTGTGCCTGTTGATATTTTTTTCTGAAAGGTTTTATTATCACTAACTGCAAGACTTTCCAGCTAAATACATTGAAGCTATTACAATATTTTTCATAAGCTAAGATCATATTTATTTACCAGTAAATTTTAAGTATAAACAGTAAATTTGGTATGATATTTTATTCTAAAATACTTTTTATTTCAAGACCTGGTAAATTCATGGCAAAAAGAAAGAAAGATTTTAATTTGCATCAATTGTGGTGATAGTTTCATCTAAGTTTTGTTTATCTAAGATGATTAATTTTTTCCCACAGAAATAGTCATATTTCTAATATTTGTATTTAAGCTAATTGAATATTGTTTTAAATAGTAAAAATATTTGTAATAAAAGTAATAATTTGTTTTTTGAACTATCTAATTTTATAAATTTCAAAAGTGAACATGTACATAAAAACTATACATTAGGCTTAATGTATCAAATGAAATCATAAGTATAGTGAATGATGAGCATCAATGAAACTATATCTAAAATCTGATAAATTTGGTACCAAGTGTTTTATGACTGCTTCAACTAATAATACTGGTGTAAGCTAATAATTTTTAGATATTTCCTTTTTTCAGTATTTAATAGAAGTCAAGAATACTAACCTGTCCCATGTACCTCGTGATTGGTTAAAAATTAGTATGTAAGTATGATATTACTTGTCTACACATTAAAGTAAGAAAAATGTGAAATTACACAGGGCTGCAAATTTAAAGTTCATAAAAGTTGTTTTGGTTTTAATAACGGATTTTCCATAATTCAGCTATGCATATTTCAAAAATAATATTTATTTTTTTCTATCATGTAAGGATTTTTTACAAATCAGAAAGAAAAACACTTGCTTAGATCAAGTTATTATTTCATTTACCGCAATGAACATTTTTTATTATTATGTGTGTTTCTCATGGGTTCTAGAATGATTGATAAGACTCTCACGTTGTGATTGGTCTAGAGCAATCTATAGGCAGTGGTTGTCAACATTTTAAGCATAACAAAATGGGGACCAATTTCAATGAAAATGATTCACTTATATAAAATACATAATGATGTTTTGTGAAAAATCTGTACATGATGGAGAAAAATGGATATTGCTTTCAGATCCAGCATACAGTAATTACAGTAGAGCATTTAAACATTTCAAGACAATAAAACCATCACAGGTCTGTGTTATTATAGCAAAATGTATTTTAAAAATTGATAAAAATTGCACATAGTTTTGTTTAATGAGAACCAGAATTTACTGTCAGAACATTCATGGAGCTTGCTTTGTTTTGAGAATTTTGTGTTGATGCAGTTAATCACAAGTTTAAGAATCTTTGCAGAAATATTTTGAAATTTCATGAGTTAATTGTGTTTATCCTTGAGCTATTGATCTAAACTATTTATTCTCATTTTTGAGATTCAGTAGTCCCCAAATTCATGAGTCATGTTATACTATAAAGCTCAGAACTCTGTGGAACTGCTAAGTTAAGTTGTTATAGTCGAAGAGATTTTATAAATCTAAAACTACACATGACTTTATTTGTATTAGAAATGAAAAAGAAAACATTTATCTTTTGGGTGATTTCAATTTTAAGCCATGCATTATATTATTACTTGATTTTTTATGAAAAGATATCATACTCAATTTGTTCTATGGGCTGGGAAGGTCAGAATGTTTCTGAGAATCCCGAGGTTTCATAAGTGATTTAAGAAACATTGTATGTGCTTTAGTATGCCAGTTCAGTAGAAATACTTGCTGGAGCCACAGAAGCATGATGATTGAAATTATCCTTGACTAAACTTTCTGCACTTTGGTTGACAGTGAACCTGGTATTTAACTCTTCACTCTTCCTGCAATTGGTCTGTTCTGTGTGTAGCCTTCTACAATATACTTAAACCCACTTTAAAGTTTTCTAACAGAATTATCATTATCAAAATCATTTGTTTTATTGTCTGTTGAAAGACACCTGCTAAATAGAGGTTATTAATTCTGGCAGTCAAAAAAGTAATGTGTGCCACTAGGAAAACCGGTGACGATTACCGGAAGCAAAGGTGATAGGACAGGCTTCAGTAGTACTTAATACCACAAACTGTAGACAAGGAAAGACTGGAAACATGTGGAAGTTTAACACCTTCTTTCTGACAGTAAAAATATGCAGAAAATCATATGTGGCACTTATTTTGTTTTGACAATTTTTATTGTAAATGATACGTATTGAACAAAGTTGTGATAGGTCTATGGTAGAATGACTAACATCCAAAGTGTAATTAAATTAGTTGCTCATTATATACATCTTGTGCTGCTGCATGTTTGACAGAAAATAATACATTATATTCATCCCATATGTGTTGTCCAAAAGTGGTTTGAAGAATGCAGACTTCAGTATTTTGTTTTGGATCCCAGTCTAATATCTGTGGCTTATTGTTGTAATCCTGTACTAACTGCATAAGATACTTGTGGATGAATGGGCTATGATCAGAGAAGACACCTCTCGGCACCTTGGAGTCAGCGCTGTACAGATTCCATACTATTATCATGGCAAAGGGTGTTCCAAATGATAATTGTAAGAACTTGAGAGTAAAAGTAAAGAATGGTGTAATAATATGTCAACCACACTTTATTTTCGATATTCAGTGCAGACAGACCTTTTGTTGGGACTACATCAAACTGTTTATATCACTGACTGCTTGAACACATGTTTGATTGTGAACTAGCTGGAATTTTAAAATGTTACTGTATTTGTGAAATTTGATTTAATTCATTAAAATCTTTAAGAAATATTGTTCAACAATATATGGTGGCTAGTGGCAAATATTTTGATTAAATTATCAGTATTATTACACTATTTCTTCTTTAGCATTATTTTTCTGATGACTATTCACCATTGCCATTTACAAATCTAATGTCGTACAGACAGTTAACTAGTGATAAATTTTGTTAAAGAAAAGAGAGAACAGAAATAACTGCTCTCATTTCTCAGGACAAAACAAGTTTCAAGATTCCGGTCCCCAGCAGTCGAATCTTTGCTCAATCAGTTGCAACAAGTTCAAGAAAAGCTGAAACTTGCCTGCCATCAAGCGTGGTTATGCTTTTTAGAGTATGTATGTACATGTACCTATATTTTGAAACTGTTTAGTATTAATACCATACTTATGAAATACATATTAGTGGAAAGTCAGGTTAGCTTATACATTACATGTTGCAATATTACAGCAGACAACTGACTTTTCTGTGATCAGATTTGTTTCGATGAGGTTCATCTCGTGGAAGAGTATGTAACTGTCTTTTTCATCAAACACAACCTCTGCCTAGTTTGTATATCAGTCTTAGTATTTTAATTGTTATACATACATGTATACATCATAGAAACTAAGTGTTACAATATTATTCTATTCTGTCTAAGCCTAATGTTCATAATTTGTGGTATTTTCAGTTTAAACTGATTTCCTCAAAGACTATTAGGTAAGTCTCCTCTATAATAGAAGGATCAGCAAGGTAAATTACAAAATGATTCTAAATTTCTAAACTTACTGAGTTTCAAGCTAAGAAATAAAGACACTGGATAAGATGTGTAACAAATAATGAGAAATTTTTATTTTTTGAAAGACAGAAAACACAGTGAACATATTAGCATTGGATACTGGACAGTCACCCCTTACTGGAATTGTGGATTGATTAACATATTTTCTTCCCAACAACCAATTCACTTGAGGTCCCGTATAGTACTGTTTAACGTTTAATGTTTTTACTTAATGAGAAATTAGTACTACCCACTGTGACGTCGTAACATCTGTCGTACCAGTGAAGGACATTGCAGTCATTTCTGTTGTTTACAACATACAGCATTGCAGAAATATAATCCTTGGGTGGAACAGCTATTATCTCTATCTTGACTGGCTACTTTTAATGGCTACTGGTTTATTTTACTTCAGAATTTAGGACTCATGTTGGATGCAGAACAGGTAGCTCATTGTGTACCTTTGTGCTAAAACAAATTCCCCTATTTTTTCTAATTTTATCAGTTTTCATATATTTCTAGTATAATAGTTTTCACTATTCAGTTCAAATACAGGCCACTTACTTCCTGTTGTAATCACAATGTTTGACAAATTTGTTCTTATAATTTCTGTTATTAATACTAATGCAACCACTTTTCATTATTTCATGAACTTTTCTTGTTTAACTGTTATCTAGTATTACATGACACACAGCTGATTAATTACTATTATCACTAGATGGCATTTCAAACTCATTCGAGGGTTAAATTTTTGTTTTGACTGAAGGTAAAAAAAATGTTTTAGGTTTATTTTCCAATAAATAAAAATATATTTATTTAATACCTGGTTTTTGTATATTTTCAGTGTCTACATATAAGTGATACACATAAACTTATGTCACATCATACATCTTACAGTAGGTAACAGCAAATTTAACAAGAGTTTTTGAAAATGGAAATTAGTTGTTTTTGGAACTATAATATAGAGATTGTATTGGGATTGTAGTATTAATGAAAGAAGTATTCTGATAACATATGGATAATAAAAATTAATGTGGCTTATTGTATCTATTAGATATTTATTTATCCTTGGCAAGTGAACATACTTTTAAAAGTATTGGCATATATTATCATGGAACAGAATTTTTGTATAATATGTTTTATAAAACATGTTTTGTTTTAAAACTATGTTAAAGGTTTATTAATTTTAAATTTTTTTGCAATAATAAATTCTTATGACCTTTTATAACTTCAAGAACCATGTTTTATTAAGCTTTGTGTGAAAGGTTATTTTTAAAAGGTCTTTGTAACTCATATTTTTTTTATCTTATTGTATACAGTGAGTTCAACTCTAACTTCTACCGATTTAAGAAAGTAGTATCAAACTTGGCCACTTTAGACTGCTTCTTCAGCTTAGCAGAATTTGCTAAACAAGAAAACTACTGCAGGTATGTTAATAATGTACCTTGATATACATTTGTGTCTAATAGTTTGTCACCTTGTTTTAAAATTATTTCAAACCGTTCTAACTTGATAGCGTAAAACAACTTCAATATTTCTTGCTGTCATTGCAGGCCTGCCCTTGTAGATACTTTTCACAAAGAACTAAAGATTGTTAATGGTCGTCACCCAATAATTGAAAAGCTTTTATCTGGTCAAGGACAATATGTTCCAAATGACACTTTCCTGAATGTAAGTATAAAATTACACTTGTGCTATTTCCACTGTTCATTCTTTGATGGAAGAGTTAAATTAAATAGCATCTTACTATTATATGAAATCTCAATATATATATATATATATATACTACCAAGAAGAGTGAATAAAAATCAGACTTTTATATTATTAGATTTATAAGAAATGTAAGCAGTGTAACAATGTAAATAGTTTTGGTATTTCTCTTCCTTCAAAGTAGTTTCTTCTGTTCATGTGAAATGATTAAAAATTCATACATACAACTTGTATAATCAGTTATCTTTTTGTCAATGTGATACATTTCAACCTAGTTTTGTGACACATTCAGAGAACAAATCAACCAAATCTTATAAAGTTTTTTGATTTGTATCATTTTTACAATAAACCATTTAGCTTTTAAACAGTCCAAGTAAGTTAGTAGGATATTCAGTAGTAGGATAACTATTTACACTGCTGTGTCATCTATAGTGTTAACTATTTACATTGTGTGTCATCTATAGTGTTAACTATTTACACTGTGTGTCATCTACAGTGTTAACTATTTACACTGCTGTGTCATCTACTATGTTAACTATTTACACTGCTGTGTCATCTACAGTGTTAACTATTTACACTGCTGTGTCATCTATAGTGTTAACTATTTACACTGCTATGGTTATCTTAATTGTTCTTTAAATGTGTTAACAAAAAATTGAAATTGTTATTTAAGTACTATGTAAGTACCTCATATCACATTATCCTATAGTATACCTTTCATATTTACTAAGTGTTTAAAGGTTTTTTTACACATACTAAATCTGGTCAAGGTCTTATGCCAATTCAGCCCTAAGTGTTACTTTCTATATTTGTGGAAACCGCTGTCTCATGGGATAGTTGTAGTGTGTCACACTTTACCACATGTTTGTATAACTGCTTCACAACTGTCACATGGAGTAGAGGTACTTTAAATTTTTTCAATCTAATTATTTTATTGATCAGCTACAGGAAGATAAATTGTAAACACACTTTAACATTTTCAAATAGATTTGTTTCTCACAATGAAAGACTCGGGACTTGCTTTGGAGTCTTGTTTCTCACAATGAAAGACTCGGGACTTGCTGTGGAGTCTTGTTTCTCACAATGAAAGACTTGGAACTTGCTGTAGAGTCTTGAAGCCCATTCTTTCTCAAATTCTCAACTTGCTGATCATACATCTTAGTTTCAAATATAGCTCATCTTCACTTTATCTTATTAAACTACAGTTTTCCACTATTTACCTATTCTTTTTATAAACTAGCCATGTGTACCCATTAAAGAAGCAAAAACTACATAAACAATGATGTTTAATAATGTTCCTCTTCCTTTATTTCGTTATTAAGTCCCTGATGGTCTTGTTAGATGCTAATTGTATACCATTCTTTGTGGAATGTAATAATTGACTCATTAACTGATTAAGTATATGTATCTCTAAATTCAAGGCCAGAAGTGCAAATGTGTCTTATTTTAGGATCTTTTATTTTAGCGTTTTTGGGCAAAATTATTAAAACAATTATTAAAACTGTCAGACAGTTTCCAGTTACCATACAAAAAACTACTATAATCAATCCAGTCAACTCTGACTGATGCAAGCCAAAAGTTTCTAAAAAGTGGAAATATTCCCTATTTCAGAGGCTTGTTTATTCTCCTTCTTGGGCAAACATCCTAAAATAAGATAGCCCACATACAGCATCAAACAGTTTCCAGTTATGATACTGTTACGTCTCTGGTCGTTAGTTAATTTCCCGTATAATTTCTTTCCGGTGAAACTTTAGTGACACAAGTCCTTTCTTAAATAAAATTAATTTATTCTTGCTCAATTCAACATTGCAATACACTTAATTTCCACAGCCAATTTAATTTAAATAATCTTATAAAAACACGTTATAATTCACAGGGAACGATTCACGCACTAACTTACTACCGTGCTTGACTCAATTGTCCATCTCTGTCTGTCTGCAATTCTATCCCGATTAATTTTCTGGCACACTTATATACAAGAATAGAGGGCATCTAGCAAATACTGGATTATTCGTGATGTTCCCAGATCTTTCTAGAATCCAATACGTTTTACCAGCGTCACGTGACTCCTGCTATCGTAACAATACCAAAAATTAAGGTAATCAAACGAACCAACTCTGGATGATAGATGCTAACACACACACACACGATGGAATATTTTTTTAGTAAGATAAAGCTTATTTTTATTCAGCTTATTATCAAATCCATGGGCCTATGGTCCACATTCACAAAATAGTAGTTCAAGCAAATTTGGCATTAATTTACATTAGAGCACATAAAAAAGTAACTTGAAATTTAATGCTCAAACTACTGTGTTGCACTTTTTCAGTTTAATGATCATTGCTGCTATATTGCAAATTTAATTTAACCAAGCTACAAATGGTAATTAGTAGGACCTACTTATTTATGTGCTCTGAGGTAAATTAATGACAAATTTGGGGTCCACTTTCAGAAAATCCCTGTAAAAGTGTGTTAGTGAAACACCCGGGTTCCCTTGCATTCAAAGTTTTATTGAGCTACTATTTTATGAATTTATGTCAATAAGTTTGGTATCAAACTGTACGTTATAATTCAAATTTTAGTACTACACATTACTCAATTTCTTAATTTAAAAGTAAATATTAAATATGTATGTTGAATGCAGGACTGGTTCAAATTAGATGTTTGTAAGGTCAAAATACTAAGTCTATAGTTTCGTATGAATTAAGAACTCAAATTACCGAAATTTTTGAAAGGCTTAGCAACCTATGACAAGCAGCAACTGAGTACAAAGGTCGTAACTAGAAGAGATAATTGTTTACTTTATTTCTTTATTTACTGTTCTATGTTTTTAGAAAAATAGGTTTAAGAACTT